CACGGGACACGACACATGGGGACAGTAGGATGAGCTTGGGTGGGGACAGGGTGGAGCCAGGACCAACATCTGAGGCTAAGGACAGCATGGCCAGATGGCTGGCTCCAAGAGGCTGCTTGAAGATTTCCATGTACTCTCTGTACTGGTCCGGGGCCAGTTAGTCACTGCTAAAGAGACCAAGGTCATGAAAAGGACCCTGCCTCTACCACTAGATGACTCTTCAAACGTCTTATGGAGCTGAGGCATTATTCTGTCATTCTGCCCAAACCATGGCACAAGGGGCACCTATTTACTATGTGCCCTACCATACCAGAAAAGCATTAAAATAGTTGGCGTCGGGCAGTGGTAGCACTCAGGAGGCAGAGGCAGGTGGATCTCTGTGAGTTCAAGGCCAGCCTGGGCTACAGAGTGAGATCCAGGACAGCCAGTGCTACTCAGAGACCCCATGTATTGAAAAACAAACAAATAAAAAAGCTGGCAGTAATTCATAAAATACAGCAAGAACACACCAAGCAGCAGAGGAGAAACAGGAAGAAACACAAACTGGAAGGCTAGGAGGGGGAAAGGCTATATATTAAGTTCTAACATGTGCAAAACCTAACCACATGCCCAATTCAGTGTCCTTAAAATAAGAACAAACCACACACTAGGAAGAAAGGAAATTATTCCTGCTACTAAGAGTCGACAAGAATTTTCTTGAGAATCATCATAAAGGCAACAAGGTATAATGTAATGGTCCTTGACAACACTCTTAGAGCAGAAAGAACACACTTCCCAAGAAGCTTATTCCTAATAGAAACTCAAAATAGGGTCAATGAGGGAACCAGGGACCGAGAATAACGTGCCCTGATCTCAAAGAAACAGCCACCAAAGAGGTCATCAACCACATGGTTAGGACAAATCTGAATTATCACTTACTTGTGGGTATTTAAGGGGCAGTGTCTATAGAAATGAAGTTTCAAGCTGGAGAGATGACTCATTGGTTAAGAACACTGGCTGCTCTTCTGGAGGTCCTGAGTTCAATTCCCAGCACCCACATGGTGGCTCATAACCATCTATAATGGGATCTGATGCCCTCTTTTGGCCTGCAGGCATACATGCAGATAGAGCGCTCACACAAATAAAATAAATAAATGTTTTTAATGAAGTTACAATAGCTATAAATTAGAAACCATCTAAATGCCCATGTCTAGGTAAATGGATAAATTATGGAATATTCATACAAAGAATTAGTGCTTATCAATAAGTTAATGAACTTTGCTGGTGGGCAGGTATGGGGCCAGTCCAGCTGCTTGTTCAGTGGGACCTTGGGAAACACAGCTGTCCTTAGCCACAACAGGCTAAGAGGCAGAGATGGGCACACAGGCAGCACGCAGTTACAGCTCCGTAGAGTGACCATGCCCACTGTGGAGGTGTTTGAAGGGAAGCCTAGGAGGGTGAAACTGGCGGAGCTATTTAAGGACGAGAAGGGTGTGCTGTTTGGAGCTGCTGGACATTTACCTGAGTGCTCTAAGACCCACTCTCCTGGGTTTGCGGAGTAAGCCTAGGATCTGAAGCCAAGGACATGTAGGTAGTGGCATGTCTGAGTGTTAGTCATGTCTCTGTGACCAAGGAGTGTGATCAAACCCACAAAACAGAATGCAAACCCCCCAGCTGCTATCACTGGGACCTGTGGGAAGAAGACAGACTTATGACTAAATGAGTCCTTGGTTCCCCTCTTTGGGAATCGCAGGCGAGCGTGGTGAGCGTGCCTGCTGGTGAGCGTGCCTGCTGGTGAGCCTGGTGGCCTGAGTTCACTCCCCGCCCACATCAAAGAAGGACAGACCTGACTCCAGAAAAGCTGCCCTGACCTGCACAATAAATAGATATAATTTTTTTATTTAATTAACTTGATTAACTGGATTTAATTAAAAGTAACATTCACAGGGCAGTGGTGGTGCACACCTTTAATCTCAGCACTTGGTTAACAGAAGGAAGCAGTCTCTGAGTTCAAGGCCAGCCTGATCTATAGAGTGAGTTCCAGGACAGCCAGGGCTACACAGAGAAACTCTATTTCAAAAATAGATAGATAGATAGATAGATAGATAGATAGATAGATAGATAGATAGATAGATAGATAGATAGATAGACAGATAGACAGATAAAGATAGACGTAGCATTTATCATATTTCATTCTATTTCTTGGCACAGGGTCTCATGTATTCCATGCTGGCCTGAAACTTACTATGTGGCTGAAGATAAGCTTTTAATTCCTGATCCTCCTGCTTCCACCTAAGTGTTGAGACTCGGTGTGTTCACATGTAATAAACAAACAAAAAATAAAACAGGCGCTGGAGAAATGGTTCGGCAAGCAGCTAAGAACGGAGGACTAGGGTTCAGTTCTCAGCGCCCGCAGAAGGCTCCCGGCTGTCTTGAACTTCAGTTCCAAGGGGTCCAATGCCCTCCTCTGGACTGCGGACACCATGCATGCATGGGGGGAGGGGTGCGGGGGGGATGTACTTGGAGGCAAACTCACACACATAAAATAAAATTAAGCAAATATTTAAAATGTAAAGTCAAAGCAGATGATGTTGCTAAACGGCACGGGCAGGGGTAGGACTTGCCTAACACCCCAGCGCCCCCCACAAAGAGCACAGGTGTGAAATGTCGTCACTCCCGCGCTCCGCGGTCCCTGCTGCACGCAAGGATCCAGACCAACCCAGCGGCCCCGTCCCTCCCTCCGCTCGCTCTGCCTCCCGGGCCGCCGCCGACCCGGCACCGACCGGGCACCGACCCGGCACCGACCCGGCACCGCGGCGCCTCGGCCTGGGGCTCAGCCGGAACAACAACGAAGGAGCCTAAGTTCTGGTCCCCACCACACCCGAGGTGACAACGTCCCAGACAGGATGACGGGTAGACTGGAAACACGTGTCACCTATGTCTCGGCTGTTTCACGGCAGTCACACGTGAAAAGAACCCCGGCGCCACCCTCGGAACGACTGAAAGCGGCCACGACCCGCGCGGCGCCCGCTCCACAGGTCCCCCGCGGGCCTGCCCAGGCGAGCAGCGCGGCGCGAACGCCACGGACACCCGGAGGCGCCAGGGGGTGAGGCGCCCAGAGGGCGTGGCCAAGCCCGGAAGGGGCAGGGACTCGAACGCGCGAGGACCTCCACGGCCTCCCGAGGAGACCGCCGCCCGCCACCGCTGGGCGCCAGCGCGCTTCCAGAGGCGGAAGGCTTTCCTTGGCCCCGCCCCAAGCCCCGCCTCTGGCCTATGGGAATGGAGCAGAGACCGGAAGGAGGCCGAGCCTCGGCCCCGCCAGGAACAGGCATCCTAGGCCCCCAGCGCCCTCTGTTGGTGCTCTCGGGAGTTGCATGGAGCTGTCGGCCTCATACCGAGGAGAAAATTGGGCAAAGCGCTACTCTAATGGCTACACGTTGGATGACTCTTTACCTAACGTTCTGCAAAATGAAAAACTGTAGCAGCAATATACCAGGGAAAGAACACAGACTGGGGGGACACTGAGAAGTACTGACTCCTATCCTGGTGGTTTCTACTCAAAAAACCAAAAAAACAAAACTCACAGCCAGCAAGTGTGAGTTCGGTTAACACAACTACAGTGTTTTTTGTATGTGTTTTGTTTGTGTGTTTGTTTTGTTTTTCGGGCCAAGGTTTCTCTGTGCAGCCCTGGCTGTCCTGGAACTCACTCTGTAGACCAGGCTGGCCTCGAACTCGGAGATTCACCTGCCTCTGCCTCCAGAGTGCTGGGATTAAAGGCGGGCGCCACAACCGCCCCGGCTTTTTTTTTTTTTTTTTTTTTTTTTGACAGAGTCTCACTGTGTAGCCCTCGAAGTCATTATATAGAGACCATGCTGGCCTCTAACTTACCCACCTGCCTCCTGAGCACTGCGGTTTGTTTTCAAGTGTGCCATGGTACACGTGTGGAAGCCAGAGGACAACTTGTCGGAGTCAATTCTCTTCTTCCATCATGTGAGTCTTGGGATCAAACCCAGCCAGCCTTGCTAGCAGGCACCTTTACCTACTGATCCATCTCGCCGGCGTCCACTACTTTGTTTTGAATACTAAAATGAGATCGTTGGCTACCAGGGTGGGGGATGAGTAATCAAGAGTGATTGCTGTATGGAAAGGGGATCGTTCTGAAGCTGTGGAGATATTTTGAAATTAGGTAAGTTTATAAACATTGTGAATGGACTAGGTTTCCTTATAAAATGAGGACTCTTATGCCTTGTAAATTTCTCAAAGTATTTTTAAATGTTTAAATTTTTCCTGCCTTTTTATTGAACAAGCTCATGTCCAGAGGCATGCTGGGGATGGAAACTGGCTTTTCTGCTTTGATTTTCGTCCCATACAGAGTGAGCATGAATAAGAAGTGGGTCATGTTGCATAAAGTGATTTCCAGTCACAAGAAGGTTAAGAAACTTGAAGGACAATCTCCTCCCCAAATGAAATGGGAAGCCCTGAACTACCATCATTTACAAATTTCCAAAAAGGAAACAGGTTGAGAAGTGACTGTGTGAGGTTGAACTGAGCATTGGCTGGCCACGGCCACTTACACGGCATCATCATGGAGAGGTTGCCTTCCCTTGTGCAGATGAACACTGGCCTCAGAGGGTATGAAGCACATCCTCCAAACCCTAGCCTGAGTAAATCCATCTTGCAGCCAGCCTCCATGTAACTATTCTGTGTGCCAGACCACAGCAAAACAAAGCCATCTTTCTCTGGCTTTGGTCAGGCAGCGTTGGCTGAGATCAGCATACCCCTTCCAACCCCCCATTAAAAACAAGGAACAAATCTTCCTGGAGTCTGCGTTTTTGGTTTTTAGTTTGTTTTGTTTTTCAAGACAGGGTTTCTCTGTGTAGCCCTTGCTGTCCTGCATCTCTCTGTAGACCAGGCTGGCCTCGAACTTAGAGATCTGCCTGCCTCTGCGTCTGAGTGCTGGGATTAAAGGGGTGCGCCACCACCTGGAGTCTGGTTCTGTCTGTGCCCATTTATCTGAACTTGTAGTCACTTCTGCTGCCTAACCAGCCCAGAACCAAGACAAGAAGACAGAGGGAACCCCAAGCCAAGGCAAGAAGGGGCCCACAATCAGGGCAAAAATTAGAAGGCTCTCCTAACCAAGGAAAAAAAGCAGAGGGGCCCAGAACCAGGGCAAGAAAGGGGAGGGGTCTCCCAGCCAGAGCACAAAAGTTGAGGGTATACAAAACCAGGGCAAACAAGCAGAAGGAACCCCAAACCAAGGCAAGAAGACTCTAAGCCCAGGTCTAAATTAATTCTGCTGCGCATGTGGGCTTAGAGCCATATAAAATAGGCATGTGCATGGGATAAGGAGAACACTTCAGAACACCGCCATCCTCAACGGTCCACTGCTAAGGAACCCCCAATAAACTCAGCTACTCCAGCCGCTGGACTGGTGGGGGTCATTCTTTGGGCCGTTAGTGCCACCCCAGTTTGGAAACAGGTCTTCACTCACAAATCTCTCGGGGGATTTGTAAACCGGGAGAAGAGAAGACACAGGATCACACACACTTAGGAAGTGGGAAGGCTCGTAAATGTCCCAGAGCCCTGAGCATCTGCGCTCTTCCGCTAGTAGAAAGAACAGTTTAATTGTTCCTTCCCTCCTGTGGTGGTTGAAACGGAAGTCGGGAGCCATGCCCTCCACCCCCAGCACACATCCCATTGTTGAGGAATATTCCAAGGAAGCCCAGGGACTGAGGACCCCAATCTCTTCACCGCAGCTTCATACAATTATGTACACACACACACACACACACACACACACACACACACACACACACACACACACACATATACACACACACACACACACACACACACAGTCCCCTCTGGATTTGGAAGTCCTAAAAATATCCCTTAGTCTAGGCCAAGCAGCCCAGGCCAGGTTCCCAGAACAGTAATCCTCAAGAAATACAGAATCTAAAAAACAAAGTACAAATTTTATTTTGTTTCTTTACAAAGGCACAGTGGCCTCTTGGTATTTTGTTCCCTACCCCCACTTTCTTAACAAAATATAATAGCTTCTCCTTGGACACAAAGACCTCAAAATTGTAAAAAAAAAAAAAAAAAAAAAAAGAGAGAGAGAGAGAGAGAGAGAGAAAAGTTTTTAAAAAATACAGAAACCAAAACCAAAATAAAACCAACAACGAACAAAACAAAAAGAGAGACAAAGACATTTTTGGGGTCAATGATGGGAACCCTGGAGGGAAAGGTGGTGGTGGAGAGTGGCCAATTCGGGTGCTGAGGTGGCGGGGGGAGGGGGCAATGGCAGCAGCAATCCCCAACCGAGAAACAATGTAGACCCCCGGGTCCCCAGAAAGCCCCAGCCCAGCCTGACCCCCAACCCATGTAAGTGCTTCAAAGAGAAAAAAGAAAACCAAACAGAGAAGGGAAGGGGGCTGAAGACTGTCGGTCTCGGGCTGGCTCTGGGGAGGGAGGAAATACCTTGGGGTTTTGTTTGATTTTCCCTGTTCTTAAAAACACGTTTAAATGAAAGGAAAACAAACAAACAAACAAAAAAAGCTTTTTGGCGGAGAGAGGCCCGGCACCTCAGTGTCAGCTTCCCCGGCCCCAGGGCCAAGGCCCAGCCCTGGAGTCCCGATGCTCCCACACGTGCTATATATACCACCACCCCAGCCCCGGGACCTGGGCTTGGGTGGCTTCGATCAAAGGTCGACTTACAGTATTGAAAAAGAGGTCATAAAAGAGACCCAAATGACATCATAATTTTGTAAAAATTTCTCACTCATTCACCCATGTCTCTCCCTGTTGTTACCCCGGCCCCCTCTAGCCCCCAGAAGGGAGAGGAGGGCTGGGGGGTGGTCAGGGAAGCTCCCCGTCCCCCAAAGGCTCCTCCCGGCTCTGGTCCATGGCGTCGCTGTCCGAGGCCTCGGAGTCTGAGGCGGTGTCCGAGGTGTGAGCCTCTGGGCAGCTGCGCACAGACTTGACAATAACCGCCCGTCTCTGTTCCTCCTCCAGCTCCTGCTTGTCCTGGGTGCCCTCGATGTGCTGGATTGCCTGGACAGGAAGAAACAGACCATCGAGGAGACTCAGTGGGGAGATCAGGCCAGATAGTTAAGAGTGGGGGCCCTCAGCCAGCTGTTATCTGCCCCCAAAACACATACCCCAGAGCTGTTCAGAAATAAACTCAGCAAAGCAGGCACGGGGGTGGACTAAGAAAGGGAAGACCCTTAGCTAAGCTGAAGGTCCTGGCTTCCAGAAGACCATAGCCCTAGATGTTAGAAACACAAGTGTGGCTCGTGTTTATAACTGTGAAGTCCACTAACCCAGTAAAGGTCTTTGCTATTCATTGTATTACTCAGTTTGCTGGGCATATATACAATGAAAGTTCTGGAATCTGATAGTCTTTTTTCTTCTCTTCCTTGTTTCTGTTTATTGGGTTATTTACAATTTATCAACTAAGTGAGTCTCGTAAATGGTGCTCACAGCACTGAGAGGGGCCTTCGCACTGCCCACCCACAGAAAAGTGAAGGGCTGGGGAGACAATTCGGTCTGCAGAGTGCTTGCCTTTAAGCATGAGGGCTTGGGTCCAGTCCCTAGACCCACTGAAGTCAGGCACAGTGGCATGAACCTGTAATTGGAGGGCTGGGGAGGTAGAGTCAGGAAGATCACTAAGGCTCACTGGCCAGCCAGCCTATCCTAACCGGTAAGCAACAAGCTCCAGCAAATTTCCTGCCTCTTGGTTCTTTGGCTCCCCACCCCCACTTTCTTAACACAATGTAGTGGCTTCTCCTTGGACACAAATATCTCAAAATTATAAAATAAATACAGAAACCAAACCCAAAACCAACAACAACAAAAATAGAGAGACAAAGATATTTTAGAGGTCAATAATGTAAACCTTCATAATGAGAACATTATGATATACATATCGACAGGTGTTTGCTCAAAAAACATAGTAGCAGACACACACACACACACACACACACACACACACGCACACACACACACACACACACACACGCACACGCACACGCACACACACACACGCACACGCACACACAAACAAATGCACACAGATA